CCCTTAATATGGCCGTTTTTCCCTCTCTATGCTATGGCAAAAAAAATTTCTACGCCCCTGCACTAGAGCTAGACCATGCTGCAGCCGCTTGGCACGTGAGCTTTTAAACTCTTGTGGCTCCAGACACAAACATAAAGCTTAAAGATGAACAAGCTCCATGCCGTGCCACATTATTAAAATTAGACTTCAAGTGCCATGTGTGGGACACCAGCGTAACAAACTGCATTGTGTAGCAGACACACCTCCCTTTCCGCTTGCTCCCGAACGCAGAAAACCCACGGGTACGGCACAGCAGCAGTGCGGTGTGGCAGTTCACCGCAAAAGACCCACGCGAGAGCTGGCTTTTTGGACACTCCCCCAATTCTCGGTCACTCTAGTTGTGGCAAATGACACTGACACGCACTGTAGAAGACAATGCGTGCACTGGCTGCGCGCGCACTCCGAAAGCTTCACACTGCTCTCGATTTTTGTTTGACGGTTTCGGTACTCAAGCTCATATCACCCGCCGCAATGAAGAGAAGTGTTCGAAACATCGGTATTCGGGCCCAACAGACAATGGTATTTGGCTGGACAACTTCACAAATTCGTATCTGCCGAATCCGCATCACTGAGATTTTGCTGAACGTTTGCATGAAGGCCTATTAAACGCATTTACAATAAAATGCGATTGGTTCGCAAAAAGCCTGGATCGGATTGGCCTACATTTTTGTCAATGCGGCCAGATGAGAAAAATGTTCTATTTCCGGAAAATTTTCCAGCTAACAATGCAAACGTAAGTAATGGTCGAAATCCGCGAGTCTTCCGGAAAATCCAGGAGACTTGGCTGGTATGACCTTGTGTTGTTCGTATGATGATCGAGTTTATTGGAATATTGTATAAGGTTGTGTTCAGCGGATTCATCACTAGTGATGCATTTGATTCGGCTGACGATATCCTCGATGTAAAAGAAGTTCAATAATTGTGTTGTTTGGTTTGCATCAGATCAAGTTTGCCCTATCCGTCGCACAAAACACGAAACCTCTACAAAACGTCTTGAAATAGCTACAGACCGCTATAGATGTCATTGCCTTAAAAAAGACCTAATGTAGATGCTTTGCAAATATAATGCTTTGGCACCTGGAATGTATTGCGCCCTCAGACTTCTGACTTGCATTGGAGTGACTATTTGTCATAAAACTCATTAAGGTGAACATACTCATAACGTCTACTTCAATATGTTATTTATATGTTTTGTCCAGACGCACGCACGCACTATGGCAACAGCTGTTTTGAGAGAAGCGAGCATTCTTCTTGAAACATCCTTCAATGAATGCTTTGCTGATAACTGGAAAATGCCAAACGACACATCGAAAGAGCAATTACTGTCGAGTTCAGAGAAAAAAAATAGGCTATAAAACAAAAACTTCCATAAAAATTAGTTTTTCTCATCGCACTGTGACAGTTCACGTGCACTTTTTTCAGCAATACCTTTGACATAAGACACATGGCACTGCTTACATATATCGCTTTGACAAATTTATTCTTGAACACTACATCAACAGCGCGAGTTGACCACCATTATCGAGAACATCGTCGATGCATTTTATTGCGTGCATTATACTTTCGTGGCATTGAAAATGTGGCCGCATTGACACGTTTTATATAGTCTTTTTTTTAATATTCAGTGTCAGCATAAAATGCAGATCTGAGCCTAGCCTCTAAGCTGCTTTTTATATTTCATTAAGAAGCACCGCAATCACTGTGACTAGCCGCACAATCGAATGCAGCTTTTGTTCACTTCTTCTTCACGTCTGTGGTCTCCGGAAGGTCACCCACCATTTCTACTGGTCAACAACAGTGTGTCGTGGATTGTGTCGTCGATGGACCACTGCAAGAGGCCGATGAATTGGCGCTGACGACAACTGGCTGAACACATCCACTAACAAACAATCTAACCACACACAACACTTTCTGTTGAAATACCCTTTGTTGAAATACCAACAAGATGATGGGTTGAGTTTGCCGCAACAGCGCATCGCTTGAAATAAAACCCATTTCACACCTCCTACCACTCTGCCTATGGGTAACGCGAACACAACAAGAGATGCACCCGTCGCAAGCACCTTTCTCTCAAAATCAGACGTTGCCGTCGTACAAGAACGCGAGCGAACAGCCTCAAACATCATTTGTTTGTATAAATGCTTACTATTATGCGACATGACGTCACCAGAAAACAAAATATCAGGAAATAAAGAGAAACTGGCTATGTCTTTAAAGTGACGTGTTTCTCTGGGTTCAGCCAATTCGTGAGCCGCCGAGAACGAACACGGCACAGCAGAGATCTCAGATTCCCCCATGTCTGAACATGTTCAGCGCGAAGCAACTCTCCAGCGTGACCACTTAGCCGAAACAGTGGAAGACTGTCATCGTGTGAAAGTTTTGAATACTAAGTGTGCCGCACTTCAGCGAATGCCCAGCATTTCCATTGCTGACAATGTGCAGTTGGCCTACAGTTCCGGTAAGAAACTGTACCTTCTTTAAATCATGCATGTGATTTTCGTTTTGGCACGAAGTCTTTCCAGTCATACACTCGTACTTACGTAGAATATTTTTGTGTTGTAGGGCTGGCTAATATGTCACAATTCTTGGTGGAACACTGTCAGGCACTCTAGCTGCAGTAATGTTAAGAAACAAACACTGGAAGCTTTATCGCCATGAAAAAAGCGACATCAACTCAATGCTGCAGTGGTGGGAATGCCTTCTAGCATTTTGGAGCAGCTATTGAAGGAGGCAAAATCTGTTCTTGGAGCACACACGGGCTTTTTCACAATACACACAGAAGAATAAAATTTAGCTTCAATTCAGTTTAATGTTTTTTAAGTTTACATAATCATTTATACAGAAGCAGCAAGCCCCCAATATAAGCATAGGTGGCATAGACTTTGCTGGACAGCTGAATGCTCGAGAGGAGAAAGATAGCAAAATTACAAAGTTCTACATTATGATATTAACGTGTATAGTAACAAAAGCTATACAACTGGAGTTGGTCAAAAGGATGTCATTGGAGGCATTTATACAAGCATTCCGAAAACTCGTAGCTAGAAGAGGATTGTGTAGAACAGTTTATAGTGACAATGGAAGGGCATTAAAAAAATCTGAGAAAGAGATCAAATAGATATTAAAGATGGAAGATGAAAGGATACAACAAGATACCCTGAAAGTGAAATGGAAGTTCATTGCAGTTAGCTCCACGGTGGGGAGTATTTTATGAATGAATGATTAGAAGCTTAAGGACGTCCACGAACAAAAACTATAAGAGCTCGATTTTCGGGTGAAGAACTATGGAATGTGGTTGTTGAAGCAGAAAGAATAATTAATAACCAGCCTCTTACTTGCCTATGTGTATGATGATCCCAACGAGCCACAAACTGCTACACCGGTGGATGTTATAAGATGCAGGCAAGAAGACAACAACAGACTTGGTTAATACAGTTTGCTGAATTATTGGAGTACAAGAAAACAGGTAACGAAAACATGGTGGGCAAAATGAAAACAAGACTACCTGAGAGAGCTTATGTGTGCCTGCAGAATAACAGAGAGTCACCAAACTATACAAGAAAGAGATACTTCTGCTTGGAGAAGCGCAAAAGAGAACACAGTGAAACTCTGCAAGGTCGAAAAGATTTTCCCGGGCACTAATGGACTTGCGAGGACATGCATGCTTTGGACATCTCAAGGAAAACTGGTCAATAGGCCTTTCAACTGCTGTATTTGCCTGAACGCTGCTTTGATTGAATCTGGTCGGCGGGAAGATGTAGAAAACCGATTGAAGATGGAGTTCAAAGGTGGCCGGGGATACACTGTATTTTTTATTCCCGTTCTGTCAACAATAAACCAAAGATGTATTGCTTCTGCAGTCTCTCTGGTCTTTTTGAAACCTACGTTTCAATAGCTCGAGCAAGGCAGACCAGCCAGCAGTGTCAAGCAGCCAGCACTTAGCGAGCTTATACTTTCAGAATGACACCGAAGTCACCGCGACGATGTCACATATGTGAGAGTGTCATTCAAAGATTTCAAGTGAACGAAATAATTTGAAAATTCTAAGGCAGTTCCCTACTAGTGGTGCCAAGCTTGAAGGAAGTACGGGGCAGGGCAGCTTTCTTTGTTTTTCTTTAGGTTTGTTTCTTCCTCTTTTCCGTACTCTGTTTTTATTTCTATTATTTCTTCCTCTCCATTTCTTTCTTGCTCTTTTTACTTTCCATCTTATTTCTTCCCTTTCACTTCTTTCTATTCGTGTCTCGTTCGACATTCACTTCTCTCCATTTCCCTTTTGCTTATTCTGCCCATGTTAAGCTTTGCTGTTTCCTGTCCTCCTTTTCTTCCTCCTTGCCGCCACAGCCCTTTTTCACTCTCTTCATCGCCACTACCACTTCTTTCTTTCTGCTGCTCTTTTTGTCTTTCTCTTAGTTCTTTTTTTCTTAACTCTATCGCTTGCTTTCATTGTACTTCTATTTCTTTCTATTTCTCCGATTTTTTTTTCTCCCTTTCTGTATCTTAATTTTTCTCTATCTCTCATTTTTCTATGCTATGCTTTACTCTACTCTCTACTCCTCAGCCTCGCTATCCTCACACTCATTTTTTTTTCCACTCTCTATACTATACTGTTCAAGGCTAAGCAATGCTTCGCTAGCGTGCCTGGATAGTCGAATGATTGAGTCAGTCGCCACCAAATCTGGGAACACGGGTTCGAATCCCACCTTGCTGAGAAATCTTATTTCCCAAAATTTCTTTTTCTCTGTCTTACTCCCTTCCCTGTATTTAATCTATCACCCATCTGGTTACAGTATCCTGTCCCAGAGAAATCACCACATGCCTTCTGGGAGCAGAGGAAACTCCGATCAAGAAAGCGTGTGCCGGTTCATAATGATTTGTGTTTCCGACAGACAGAGAGCATCAACAGCTCCGCTGTTGAAAATTGAAAGCAGGCTTTGCTGCAGTAGAAAATCACAATTCAAACCTACCTTGACGTCATGTGGCAGATGTGGGTGCCCGTACAGCTTGAGCCGCAGCATGACGCCTTCCACACAGCCATTGTGACTGCACAGGGTAAAATTGACATTGGAAAAAATAGCAATGCAAGTATACCTGGCACAGCCGAGAGCTGTATAGAACATCAAGCAAAACAGCTTGCACAACTACAGACTACATAACTGCAATAGGCACAGCATTGTGCTGTCCACAAAGCCGTGTCACTCGGAAGGAGCACCTGAAAACTGTTCAAAGCTGAAGAGAAGATTTACTCATCCTGAAGTCTAGTTAGCGGTGCGCAATAATATGATCAGAACACGCGTCTTTAGGTTTACACGTCTCTAGGTTTGGCACCGCCAAAGCACAGCCACCTGGTGCAAATGTTTGGTCACCACATTCCCCTCACTGAGCATTCACAGTCCACTCACTTGCGGTGCTTGCTGTCTCAGATAAGCTAAAGAGGTGGAAAGGGGCCCTATTGGTAATTTTCACAAGATACAAATAAGTATCTATGTACCGTACTTACTCGAATAATGAATGCATTTCTTTTCTCGAAAATTCAAAGCGAATTTGTAAGTGCGTTTATTATGTGAGAAAAATTATATGAAGTCTTTTTCGAGATGAGAAAAAAAAATGAGCAATGCAAAAAAATAAGTTAGGTCGCTTAGCCTTTTGCTACTGACATAGGCGTTTGAAAACGGCTACTTTGTTGCACTTTACTCATTTTCGGTGGTTTGAAGGAGCTATCTCCTGCAAGCTCTCCTTGCGCTGCCCGCACACTCCGTAAAAGTGTTTTGCAGCTTTTCTTTCTCGCAACCGTTCAACCACAACAGTGGTATTTGCTGTGATCTTGAGGAGTGCCCAGAAGCGTGCACTAGAACAATGCAATGCACTTTGCCAAGGTCTTGGCAACCTTGTACAACGATCGTGACGACGCCGTTGACGTCGCACCAAGCTACCACTAATGCATTAAAACAAACCGTTGGTAACAAGATTAACAACAAAATATGACTACCCTCTCGCTGTCCAAATGAGAAGTTACTGTAGAAAAGGTAGCCTTGAAGTATACGTGGATAAGAAGCATGAAAAGCAAGTTGAAACCAAGGCGAGAATTGGGGGCACTACCATGTTGCGGAAATCATCACAATCTTTTCTGGGTGACAAGCGGTTTCTTCAGGTTTTCCAGAAACCTAGGACATGATTGCGAGAAACGGCCCTTCGCGACAGCCATGGCAGAAGCAAACCCTGTCATCCTCACTTGAAAATCACGGACATGTAGTTAGGCCTTAAATGTTTCGTATGTGCAGTGATGCTACCGAGTGATGCTATGTGCAGTGATGCTACTTTTGATTTGGAGCAATTTTTAGAGCAGTGAAATTTTCATTTTGTAGCACTTCGGAGCAGCAAAAGTTTCTATTTTGGAGCAGATTGGAGCAACAAAATTTTCATTTCGGAGCAATTTGGAGCAGCAAAATTTTTCATTTTGGAGCACTTCAAAGCAGCAAAATTTTTCATTTTGGAGCAACATGGAGCAGCTAACTTCACATCCTGGAGGAGAAGCAAGTTTCATTCACATTCAAGGGCATGAATAATTATTTTGTGGCTATTCTCTCCTGAGAAGAGCTAGAGATATTTCTATTCATTTCAAATATCATGAAGCCAGTCATCTTTGCAGCACTTTCTATTTTAATTGATGATGCACAAATAATTGCATCATTACGTTGGCCATCTTGAAAAAAACTTGTTCAGTGATTATTTTTGCAGTAAATAAACAGAATGCTGGTTAAATAAAATTGTATTTCATGAAATAACATTCTATATCCCTATGTGGTTATCGGTATATATGATAGACAAATGCTGTAACGTACAACACTAGAGACACACAACTGCATTTCTCTTAGACTACTCCAATGATATCGAAAGAATATTTTTCTTCCCAACTCATTACACTGCTGGGCTTAGCATGGCGTCATTTGGCTTCTCGTACAGCCAACCTCCTCCAGCACTCATCTCTCTGTGCTAAAACTCCACGATTTAACAAACATTGCTCTGCTTTTACCGCAATGTTTTCTCTATCTAGGGCATTCTGTCTATACTCCGAAATTCCCCTGTAGTGTTCTAGAAAGCAGTGCATAAAGTAAAAAGAACCTCACAGGGTACCTTATGCATATACCTAAGAGGACTAGAAGGCGAGAGCCATTTTGTTCTTAATGCAATAGCAATTACAAGGACATTCTTGACCGGTCTTTGCCATCTCAGGTGCATAGATAAAATTTTTTTATTTAGGTGGGGGGGGGGAGTGCACATCGATAGAGGGGGGGGGGGGGGGGGCATGCAAATAGTAATGTTAAGCTATATATGTGACGCTACAATGAATGGGAGATGTGACCTGGCTCATACGCCATGTTTATTCCATTGTCACTTTTTCTTCATCTACTTCTCCTAACCATTCCAATCTTCTTACGTCACATATATATGCCATGGCGAAAAATATATCGGGGGGGGGGGGGGGGGGGCACATTCCCGATGTCCCCCTTCCCGCCTGGCTATGCCACTGGCCGTCGCCATCATGTCTTGTGCGATATCCCAATCAATAACACCTCCCCATGCAATGTGTTTTACAAGCAGGCAAAAGTGCGCGAGCAGGGGTGACGAATGGAGCTAAAGCAGAGATAAAAAAGTCACAGTTTCACGGCAAGGCCAAAGCAATGAATCCAATGGTAACAACTTAGAATGTTGTGCTGAGAACGGCAAGCAGATCGAAACGTGCAGCATGCTGCTCACGCACAAATGACGCACTAAAACAACATAGACAGGACGAGAGTAAACTAACAACGTTTACCGCTCAGCACTTAACGCGCTGTTTAAAGAAAAAAACGCCAGGCCTATGCATAAGACGCAGCTCAGTCACAGCTAAAGCAAGAAGAGCGGCCTGTCAGAGCCTTTTCTAAACACTCATTAGGTAACTACTGCAGGCACACTTGCTTGATACCCACTGTGGCATTATTAATAAAAAATTGTTGGTTGTAGGCCGGCATTCGCTGTGCTGATTTTCGTCCTTCTGAAAAGTGTGGTATCTGCTAAACACTTGAAAGAAATTTTGTGCCAATTCTTCATGCATTGGCCGAGGATGAATTATTCCTGAAGAGGGTATGCACCACAATTGGTGAACTAGAACAAGCTCTTGTAATGGGTTGGAGCATTAGACGACCCACTCGTTACGCCATTCCCATTGTGCGACGACTGATTGTTCTTTCACTATTCTAAAGCACTTTTAGGTCGTATTACCGCGATTGCTTTCCTGACATCAAGCCTGCCCAAGGCAAGTTTGCCAACAAGTCCCAAGCACCGGCGTAGCTCAGTGGTAGAATACTGGGCTGGCATCCAGTGGACCAGAGTTTGAGCCCCACTTTGTCACAGGTGCTAGGTTTTTTCTAATTTCGTGTGATGTGGTTACAGACACCAGCGGTGAAGGACAACTACGGTGGTGCAGGACCCGAGTTGTGACCTCATAACAGCTTTCGCTGTAATACAACGCAGGAAACGTAGTGACAAGTACAGATGGGTGCAAACTAACAAGTGTCCCAGTTATACTTCACTGTGTATCAAAAGCGCGCTCTTTTCGCAAACAGGGCCTGTGCAGCCAGCAAAGTAACTTTTGTTTGGGCCTGTCAACTAAAGCAATCGTTCCAGTGAAAGCCGAAGGCATACGATTTTCCCCATTGAAGGATAAGCTTGCGCACATAAGCATTTAGCTCCCCTTCCCCCTACATTCGCGGGACAAAGTCGCGTCAGTGCATCATGACAAGCTGAGCGCCGAGCGCAGACGGCTTTTCTTTTCTTTATTAAGTTTTCATATATATAGATACATATACATATGCAGTGAATGGCGGCGGCGACGGCAAAAAAACAAGCCGGCACTGTCCAGATAATTGAATAAAAGATCCGACCTACCTCCTTTGCACGAAGTGCAGATGTGATAGCAGCACCTAATGTGCTAAGCCTGCCATCGATTGTTACTCAAACAAAGAGGAACGCGCCACCAATCTTGAAAAATGCAGGAAGGAACTAGGAATGCAAGGAGGGGGAGGGGTGCATTGTTATGAACCTTGGGTGTGATCACTGGCACTTGCACTAATTCGGCGGGCATTAACGACAGCTGTTATACCCTTCTATCTTGTACTCTGAATGCAAAAAGACTGCTGGTATCCTATTCATTGCTAAGAGCCTAAGTGAAACTAACCAATAGTATCTTTGGGATACTATTGGACACGACTTCACATAACCTAGATGAATGGTGGCTAAAGGGATAATGATCACTCCAATTGCCGAAGTAGTTTTTGCACTGTTAGTTATCTAAACCCGAAGCAGAGGTTATAGTAGCACATAAAGTTTACAAGCACGTCTCATTAGGCCTCGACATAGCGCGCTTGCGAATGCTCCCTTCAAGAGACGCAGCTTCTGCTTCCTTCTTTTCCCCCCTCAAAAAAAGAAACGAAGCAATGAATGCGATGACGTGATGTTTGATTCTTTTAAACGTTAGATACTGAGCTTGGAAAGCAAGAGGAGGACGTGTAACGAGGCATAGCCGCTTCACCGTGGGCCATCCGATCCCAGAGCCGTCAGCGATAGCCTCCCTATTGCTGCATGTATTAAAACTGAATTCCAGCTGCTCCATGAATAAAGTATATTAAAGATAAAGTGTCAACGAGTTTCCACCGTGCACATGTTCCTCTGTGGACACGAAGCGAGAAAAATTGGACCCCGATAACAAGAAGCCCACCGACGAATCACTGCCACGATTTCACGCACTGATTGGACTAGACATCACGAGCCCCTGCGGAGAGCGCGTTTCACAATTGAGCAGACTTGCACAACAGAAGTTACGTCAGCACCGAACGTAGCGTAGCGGATTACTTAGAACGCACCCTCGACCGCTGTTAATTAAGCAGAATAATTTTAGGCGCCCTATAGTGACTTTGGTGGCCCCGAGAACAAGACGCACATGTTTTGACGTGCTGGCTGGCTATTGCCGATGATAGACGGTCCCAAATCCGACTTAGGTGCAG